TGAATGAGATAGATAGATGGATCGATCGATAGACAGATAGATAGATTGATAGATAGATAGATAGATAGATAGATAGATAGATAGATTGATAGATAGATAGATAGATAGATTGATAGATCTATAGATATGAATTAAACTGAAATGAATATGAATAGACACAGTAATATAAGATTAATTGCAAAAAACTGGATGATTGATAGGTATGAATTAAGAGGTCTATTAGGGACAGACTAGCATATCACAAACAGAGGACGATAAAAACGTAGAAAGTATGGAATAAATCGTTTACGGCTAGCTTTTGATATAATTTTTTAAGACCAAATCATTCAAGTATTAATATGGATAATATGAATATAGCATAAATAAGAAGTAAATAAAAAAAAATATAATAATATCATGGCTTAACCTACAGCAAGATTAATCTATTTCAACAGGCTCATACGCTTAGTAACAACTGCCTAAGCGCTACTCGTAACAAATTGTGTGGCTACGCTTAGTCGTCTGCATTTAGTTGCGTCCTAATCATTAATCTAATGTCGTATCTTATTAGTAAAATTTTACTACCATTACTTATAATTTCTCGCAGCCGTAATGTTGCTTCTCTGTGCATTTCTTTTAAATATTTTCATAGTAATTGTTCTAATAATCTTTCCTCTTCGATACCGAGAATGTACGAATTTATACGCAGTAATACAGGGTGTTTCAAAAAATTTGATATCCTTTGAGATGTAAATATCACAAAAAGTATATGATTAAGGCAAATGAAATTAAAAAGTATTAATGTTGAAGATCATAAGATTTATTCTTCCAAATCTGAATGAGAAATTCAAAAGCATGTGGATTATGTGTACGATTTCACAAATGTTCAATAGGCGCACCGCCTGAGACACGGCATTTTTATACCTGTAAAGAAAAAGATTAAAGATTAAAGAACATAAAAATACAAATAAGAAAAACACAAAAACATAAAGACATAAAAACATAAAACAAACATTAAACATAAAGATGCTATTAAAATTTGAAGGAGATCTAACAAAGTTATTAGATTGCGAAATGAGATTAAATTTTTTGAAACACCGTGTATATTAATATCAAGTTCTCATAATTCTACGGTCGAAAGAGCGATATGTAACCGTAAGTTCTATGCTAACAGTCTCTTCTTTCGCACATCTCACTTGTGGAAGTCTCTTCCGTCTTCTTGCTTTTGATTCAAAGTTATTCTTCAAAAATTGAAATGCCATCTCTATCGTTATCTTCTGTTTTAATTATTACTGTTCCTTTATTGTTCAATATCCTTGATAATGTTTTCTTTCTCTATTATTAAGAAATCCCCTTGCGTCTTAGGTACTTTATTATCTTACTTGGAGTGAAATATTTATCACGTCAGCCAGCCATATTTTAAATGGTGGCTGGACAAGTATAGAGAGGTATATTAAAGTTTAAAAACACATTTAAAAATCGAAGATGTGAAGAACCATTATCGCTCCTGCCCTGGAAGTGATACAGAAGGTGAATAAAGATATACTAGAATTACTCTTGAATTTAAATGTTCACTAAGATGTCTAGTTGGCATTGCTTAAGTTTGAGTGACATCTTTATTTTACGCATAAGCCATTAGAGTGTGCGTAGTAGCCATGTGTTGCACCTTTATAGGTGCCTGGAGTAAAATAACTTCATGGAGTTTCTCTTTCATCCGACTGATATTCTTTCTCCTAGAGTCGTTACCTTTTCTATTATTTCAAATTATTTTCTTCAACTATGTCGTGTCCCTTCAAGACTTGGGCCATCATGACTCTCCAAATTTTTATGTACTTTTCAGACCTTAGAAAATTTTGTCTTTTGTTATATCTCATAACCCCTGTTTTGTCTAGCATTTACACAATTTCATTAGGTAAGATATACGCTACATTCCTGTATTCGTTTTCGAATTCTAGTCAAACCCATTACATTGACTTGCCTGCTAATACCCTTGGAAAATGTATGAATCCTCTTCTGCTCCCAACTATGGGTAAATAGCAGGACAGACCTTGGATGGCAACTGGTCTAGAGCAAAAAGAAATGGCAACCAATTGCGGGAAAAAAAATCTGACTCGTCAGTCACGTATCGAAAGATACCCTTGGAAAGGATATGAATCCTTTTCTCCGCCCTAGCTATAGGTAAACAACAGGACAGATAGGGTTCTATAGCCTTGGATGGCAACTGGTCTACAGCAGAAAGAAATGGCAACCAACTGCTGGAAAAAATCTGACTCGTCAGTCACGTATCGAAAGATACCCCTGGGAAAGACATAAATCCTATTCTTTTCCCCTAGATATGAGTAAATAGCAAAACAGACCGGGTTCTATAGCCTTGAATGGAAACTGGTCTACCACAGAAAGAAATGGCAACCTACTGCGGGAAAAAAAATCTGCCTCGTCAGTCATGTATCATGCATGGCGCATAACTGACTGATGTCCAGTGAGTGTTAAATTATCACACCCATCGTTTCTTATTATTTGCTCGAGAAAGTTCGACTCTCTTCATGATTCTAATTATAAGAATTTGATTTGTTTTTATTTGATTTGTTTTCATTTTATCAAAACCTTCGTCGTTCGCTGACGTGTTCATACAATTTATTCTAAGCATCCTTCTGTAGAAATAACTTTCTACTGCTTCAAGTCACTTCTTCAGCTGTGAGGTGATTGGGTCCAGCATTCACAGCCATATTAAAGATTGATATTACCTAACAGTTCAATAATATTTTCTCAATGAAATGTTCCGTTTTCTTGATACTTTGCTTAACATTTGTAATGCATGATTCACTATATCAATGCGCCTTCAGATTTCGGTGTCGCACAGCAACAGAAGATGGATTTTTGCCTTTTCCAAGAAGATTAGTGCGTAGTAAATGCAAAAAAAAAAAAAAATACGGTCAGAATTTGATTTCGACAAGCCGATTCACTTCTCGCACTGATAATTACTTCGCTATCAAGCAAATCGTCTGAAGTCTCCAATACCTTTTCTCAGTAATCGCCCAGACGCCATAATCTGGACATATGATAGGATTCTTCGATATGAGTCTTTTTTTTTTTTTTTTTTAGTAACAAATAGCTGCTTCATTTATTATTGATGGCAATAGGAGTTCATGATCTGGGGGTAAATTATGTTGTAGTAGTGGGTTTGTTTATTCGATTTTTTTCTCGACAAGCTTTTTTTTTAATTACTTTCTGTGCCATTCTTTAATGACAAGACCCTATAGTTTACAATTTACAGCTGCTTTTTTTCGGTTGTGATAAAAGATTCTGGCATTTTTCCTATGTTTCGATTTTTTTAAAATATTCCGTACTCGGCATTGGTTTTTGTGGTGTAGCCATGTCTACGATCTATCATGCATACCCTCTTTGTTTACAACCATCAAATGCAGTATTTTTTAAATGAATGCGACAGCAATTCGTGATCCCAGAAGATCCAATCTCTTAGTTTTTTAATTCCATGTGCCCATCAATTACTTAAATGATCATGGCCCTCTACATCTTCTTTTTTCCGTTATCCTCTCTGAATTGACATATCTCATTGAGAAATATAGTTTACATTTGCCAGGCTTTTAAATTCAGAGATGGATTTCTCATAGACTGGCCGCGACCCACGGTTAAAGAGCCCTGTCTATTGTGCCATTAAATGGAGAGGAGATCAAATTTGTCAAGACAGAAACTTGAAATCGGCACGATGATTCAGTTTTCCGCACCGCGAACCATTGCATTAACAGCGCATGTCATATTTCTCTTAACGACGCTAATTTCTTTAATTTTATGGGCAAACCAACGAAGTTTGCACAGTTTCCATAGCATGATAGTTCCCACCCTGCTATGTATATATTTTCTTTCAAACTGAGTTTTAGCTTTAGTAAAATTTTTCCACATAAATGACGTAATTTTACATTTTCCATTTCATCCTCATCGTTTATGCAGTTAGCGAATTTTGCGCCGCCGCTGTGGTCACCACTCCCCTCCATCTCCCAATTATCGCTCATGATGAGATTCAAGACAGAATAGTGCAATAGCTTGCTAGCTCTTTTGCGTCGGAAATGATGAGGCTACTCCATCCCTCCTCTTGTAACTTAAAGTGACATGACATACGGGGAAGCAGGTGGTGCTAATTCAGAGTTTTCCTTCTCCTAGACTGTTTGCTTTCCATAACTGCAGAACCAGCTCTGTCTTGCTATTTACCCATAGCTGGGACAAGAAAAGATAGATTCATGTCATTACCATGTGAGAAAGTGAATGCAATGAACGAGACAGGAATTTGAACACGGCTATCCGATTCCTTTCTTCAGGCCGCTATTCATTAATTTGCAGTGCCTCCACTTTTCCTTGTACCATTCCTAAAAGAGTAAATTAGTTTTGCTGATCGGAGTTTCTTTTTTAGTCTTCGATACTTTCTACATATTAAACTAAACAAATTATTTTACACACCACTGATAAATTCTAGAATATGGTTTATCATTTTAAAATAATCGATCCATGCCACCAACAAGAAATTATAATTTTATTCGGAATTTTTTTTTAAAGGAGAAATTATCATTATATGCCATGTTATTTGAAGCAGCATCCTTGTCTTGCCTGCTATACGTAAATTGTCTCGCCATTGTTTTCTTGGGACCTCTTTCGGTCTCTTCTTAAACTCTCTTCGGAATTTCGAGCCAAAACTTATATTAAATCTGCGGGACAAGTTATTTCTAATTTCTCTTGCCATGATTATGAGATATTTAGTAACATCCCGACTTTATTTTTATCTAAACTTATTCAGCTTTATGCGCCAGCTTCACGGAAAATAGAGACTAGCCTCCCACTAAAAGCAATGGTGGCGGAACATCTACAAGCGGTTTTTCGTGCAGTGACATTGAAATCAAGCATAGCTGATTATTTGAGAAAATACTCAGCGATTTTACTCATTGTTGTAATTTTTGTTGATTTATTCCACTGAACCAAAGACTTGGTGATTTTTCAATAGTATCAGACTAAGTAATTGGTTACACGTTTTTTATTTTAATCATGTCACCCCAAGCAAGGTAAAAATGCCACTAGTACGCAGGTGGTTACAGGGAGTGAAAGTGAGAGTAAAAACTGAGTATAGCGGGCATTGACGAAAAGACAAAAGATAAAAAGGATTCAAGAAGTCAGAAGATGGTGATTGACGTTGCATTTAAATTTTTAAAGATTGTAGATATTAGCGAAGTAAGTAAACGGAGGTGAGTGCCAGAAAAACAAACTGTTGGAGAAGAATTGGCGGTCGTATTTAGCTATTTCATCAGATGCCAATCTAGTAGCACGCTTAAATTCATGCATCCGCGGCACCAATGAAAAAAGTTCGCCTGAGCAGTTGCGATGAAAATATTCGTATAAGCGATAAAGGAAAGCCACGTCACGTCGGTGAAAAAATGACTGAAGTGGAGATTCCAGGTCAGGATCGATGACATTGCAAATCCTTCTTTGTCAACAATCTCGAGATCTATAGCAGACCACCAGACCAAATATGGCGGCAGTATTCAAATCACGGACGAATGGTATGTTTTTAAATGCGCAAGATTATAAGAAAAGCTTTCTGGTACCACAGAGTGAACCAGAATTACTTTCGGTAGATGCAACTATTGATTCGATGTAGTCGCCCAACTTAAAGTTAATTGAAAACGCGAGGCCAAGAAGTCGCCATGTGCTGTTCAGCAAGAGTCTAGCTTCAGCTCGAGATGTATAGCAGACCACCAGACCATATATGGCAGGAGTATTCAAATCACGGACGAATGGTATATTTGTAAATGCACAAAATTAGGACAAAACTTTTCTGGCACCATTGAGTGATCCAAAATTATTTGTGAAAGATGCCGCTATTGATTCAATGTAGTCCCCCAACTTCAAGTTCATTGAAAACGTGAGGCCAAGAAGGCGCCATGTGTTCTCCAAGAGTCTATCTTCAGCCATACTGATGGCATATACTAAGTTTGAATCACCTAGGTTATTTTTCTGTTAGAGTAGGCTTGGAAATTGCGAGTATGCGCATTTCTTCTTCAGGAATTTGATTTTGAAAGTACCCTACTATTTATAATATTCTAGCAGTCTTTAATAATGCTGTCATGTTGGGTTTCCCAATTTGAATCGGATTTTCAATATTTCCAGTGATTTAGTTCGCTCTTCAGGAGTTCTCAATTTCATGTATAACATTACCTTCAATTTAGCGACCCTGTCATGATTTGCATTTTGTTTTAGATTTAGTCTTTGGTCTAAGCCAATCGTTCCCAAATGGAGCGCGAGAAGAAAATAGCAGGGGAAGCGGAATGATTGAAAGACAATAAAAGATTTACAAAGAGTTTTAAGAATTCATATGCCAAAAATAAATATGATTTCAATATTTAAAATTATTATTATAGATTACTTGCAATTGCATGCATGAGTCCCACTATAAATAGATATAAATAATTATTGACCGATTTTATCATTGGGCTATTTTTGCCTTATATCGTGTATTAAGAATATAGTAACAAGGGTCCGCAAATTGGAAGAGAGATTTATCAATGATTTTGATCTGACTTCAAATCTACATTTAACCTTCTCTCCGTTTTTTTTTTTTTTTTTTTAATGTACTTTTTATCACATAAAAATTGATGATGTCACACCAATTTTTCATTCCGAAAATTCGTCTCAGTGAATAATGTGAAGGAA